GGTGGATGGGGCGTTAGCCTGCAGGGCACCGAGAGGCTCTGGGGACTGCCGGCCCCGCAGCCTCCGCGGCGCCCGGCCCGGCACCCCGTGGGGCTGCCCGGCCCCCTCGCAGCGCCGCCTCACCGGGTTTGATGTTGGCGAAGGGCAGCGTGAACTGGCCCACAAAGTCGTTCCGGGACGTCTTGTCGTAATCCTCCACCACGAAGCGGACGAGGGCCAGCTCCGGCACGCGGAGCTGGAACTGGAGCGTCTCATCCCAGCGGGGGTTAAACCCTGGGAAGGGAGAGCGTGAGCTGAGAGGGCAGCGGGGGCAGGACCAGGACAGAGCTGGGCCGCCCGGTGCTGCGCTGGGCTCACCGTTATTCTCAATGTACTTGGTCTCCTGGTGGGCCTGGTCCGCGGGGACGCCGTGGATCTCCACGCGCACCAGCGGGTCGATGACAGCCTCGTCCTTGCTGTTGGCGACCTTGGGCAGTTGCTGCCCGCTGATCACCTGCGCACAGGGCAGGGTCCCCCTGAGCCGGGAGCAGCGCGGCCATGAGCTGAGCAGGCCCCCGAGCTCCGGTGCCTGCCATGGGCAGTGCTGCCCTCCCCTGCCTCCAGAGCGGCTCTGGGGACAGAGCACAGTGCAGGGAGCCCGGCCAGCGCTAGAGCCCCACATCTGGGCAAAGACCCAACACACACATGGCCGTTTTGGCACATCCCCGCTCCCGGGGCTCCCCTTGGCCCTATACCTGGATCGTCAGGGTCACGGGGCCGTGGCTTTCCCAGGTGCTGGGGTCACTGGGGTTGAAAAGGGTCCCCTCGTCCCTCATGAAGGACGGCTTGAGCACATAGCCGCAGTGGCCATTCTGGCTGAAGAGCCCATCGTTGAGGTCCATCTCTGCGCCGGCGGTCTGGAAGTTCAGGGCCACTGCAGGGAGGCAGCATGGAAAGAGCTCGGGAAGGCCCAGGGCACCCGCAGGCCGGTGCCTTGCAGCCGTGTGCCCTGCTGCAGCCAGAGGGCAAGAACTAGCTTGGGGATGAGCAACAGCCTGTCCCTGCGGCCAGAGAGATGCAGGGCCACGCTGGGGGACAAGGCAGCAATGCCTGTGCATCCCCAACCAGGGCAAGGGCCTGCAGCCAGAATGGGCTGCAGCTGGCGCCGATACGGGTGCTGACGGTGCCCTTGGCAGGGGAGCTGGTGACACCTCTCCCCACGCAGCCTGGCGCTCCGGGCCGTACCGATCTGGCAGCCCGCGTTCCACATCTCCTGCGGGTTGTAGTTGGAGGAGTCGGTGCGCATCCCGCTGGGGTAGATGCGGGTCAGCTGCCAGGCATTGTGGCGGACAAACTCATTCCCTAGGGATGGACCACGAGGGCTGCTTGTGAGGTTATTCCCCCAGCCTGCATGGCCTCCCGCCCCCTGAGCTGCCCAGCAGCACATCCACACCTCCATCCAGCTGTCCATCCTCCTACTCAACCCTCTGTCCATAAATCCATCCGGCCATCCAACAACTCATCCATTCGCCAGCCATCCACCTCAGCCCCTTCCACCTCACCCGACTCCCGGATGAGTTTCCTGGCCTTGGCCTCGGAGAATGAGGAGATTTCGGAGGGCCGGGAATGGGTGCGGGCCTCCTGGAAGCCCTGGAAGGAGACGCTCTTGCAGTAGATGACGCAGTCGGACAACGCTTGCGCCAGGCTCTCCCTGTCCTTCTGCAAGGCAGAGACACGTTCAGCTTCCCCTGATGGGGACAGGGGCTTTGCCAGCCTGGGGCCGTAGGGCAGCCCCAGCCAGCTGAGGTGCCGGGGTGGCAGTGGAGCCCCACAGAAACGGAGCGGCCTGGGGACACTTGTCACAGTGCTGCCACAGGGGGCTGCCATGGCCAAGGGCACAAAGGGGAGCCCCCACCTGCTGACGACCCCATGGTCGCTGCCCTCCCCTTGGTGCCACGACATCGCCACAACCCACAGGTATGCCCGGGGATCTCAGCGCTCCTGTCCCATGCCCAGCCTGGGCCAGACACCTTTGCCCTCCGCTTCTCCTCCTCCGCCTCTGCGCCGGTGTCCTCATCGGAGAGCTCGGGTGCGTCGTCCCCCGCCCCGTCCAGCGTGTCCTCCAGCCGCCCAATTTTCTTGCCCTTCAGCAGGAAATGCAGGGTTGGGGATGGAGGGGTGGCCCTGCGCGGGGACCACGGGGTGCCAGGCCCTGTCCCAAGAGCCCCGTGTGCCTCTGGCCCCTCAGGGGAGCAGAATGCTGCTGGGGCAGGGACAGCCTCTCCTCAGGGTGGAAGTTCCCACATCCCTGGGATCTCTGGTGAAGGACCCCTGCTCTCAGCAGGGAGTTATTGGAGTAGGACCTGGTCAGTGGGGGTGGTGACAAGGGCACCCCCTCATCCCACTCCCACCCAGGACAGCGGTGTTCAGCGCGGCCGTGCTCTGTGCCTTACCTCCGGGGATGGGAGCTGCGTGGGGATGCGCCCGTCGGTGGTGGCCATGAGGAGCTGCTCCCCCAGGATGCTCTTGAGCTGCTGGGCCAGCACATCCTGCTGCTCCACGCTGCAGTGGTTCTCCAGTGACAGGATCACCGGGTAGTCCGAGACCTGGGGACGCACGTGCAAGGGGGAAGCACAGGGGAACAGGGACATGGGGCTTCTATCTGGGGCAACTCTCAAGACCTTGGCACGCCCCCATGCACCCCAGCCCCCCATCACACCCCCTACCTGCCCCTGACCCCCGGCTCCCATCCCACCCCAGTTGCCCCAGCAGGCTGTGCCCACATGCACACCGGCAGGACACAGCACAGGGCTGCGGGTCGGTCCCCACGGTGCCAGCGCCATGGAAGGGAAAGGCGCCGGCCACCCTCTCTCCTCACTGTGGGACCAGCCCTGCTGCCCTCCAGACAGAGACCCACTGCGGTCTCGGAGCACAGCCACGGCTCCCCGCGCCCCACAGCCCCAGCCCGCGGGAAGGCTGCCCTACCTGGAAGGCGTATTTGCCCAGGGTGCTCACCACCTCCCGGAAGGGGATCTTGGAGGTGAACGTGTGGCCGTGGTACACCAGGGGCTCCCCATTTGGCCCGTCCCAGCAATCCACCTCGAGGCAGCGGCAGCCCCGTTTCAGAGCCCTACAGGTGGGCAGCAGCCCTGGTACCCCAAGCCCGGCCAGGGCACCAGACCCCCTGATACCGCCCCCCTTCTCCTCTGCCTGTGTGTGCCCCCTCCCACAGGGTCCATGTCAGTCTTGGGGACAAGGGACAACTGATGTGGGTGTGATGGGGGTGCTGCTGTATGGAGGCAGGGAGAGCTGGGCAGGCTGTTCCCAAAAGGGACCCCCTTGGTTGGGCCACAGGGAGCTGCATCACGGAGGGGGAGCCCCTGGGTACCCAAGGCACAGAGTTGTCCCCCGGCCAAAGGAAGCATCTCCCCTTGCTTGACTCGCGCCACGGAGCTGCCCAGGGCCTGGCAGTGGGGCCAGAGGGCGTTTGGGAAGGCAACCAGAGGGGAGCAGCTCTTTACCTGATGTAGCCCTCGATGCTGCTCTGGCCCCGGATCTGGTCCTCTAGCAGGTAGGTGTTGTGAGAGGAGGAGATGAAATAGTGACAGAGTGGCTGGGTCATGTCCTGCCAAAGCGCCTGGTGCTGTGGGTTGAAGATGGAGCCCTCCGGGGAGCAGAGGTACATGAGGAAGCCATCAGCACTCAGCACGTGGCGAGCCTTGGCTGGAGACACACGGGGAGCGCACTGACTGCCCGTGACCTGGGGCAGCATGGGGACAAGTGGGGCCACTCGTGGCTCCTGGGCCCCATGGGCACAGCTGCGGTGGGAAGCAGCATCTCACCCATCTCCGACGGCTCATACTTGTCGATGAGCTCCATGGCGAGCTCCTCCGTGCCCTCGCCCTCCAGCTGTTCCTGCTGCAGGAAATCCACCAGCTCCAGCAGTGTCAGCTTCTTCCCATCCTCGGAGAAATCCTGGAAGAGGCTCAGCACCTCCTCGCGCTGCGTGAGAGCCTTGTAGAAGAGCACGAACTCCTCCCCTTCCAGCGTCCCCGACTCCGACTTGTCAGCAGCCTGCAAGGGACTCGCTCAGCACCAGGCCATGGCTTCAGCCACCTCCTCGGCAGCATCGCGTCTCTGCTCCCAGGGGAGGCCACGGAGACCTGGCAGCAGTGGTAGGCATTGGGTGATGGATAAAAAGATGGATGGATCATTGCATAAACAGGCAGTTGGGTCAACAAATGGACGGATGGATGGATGGATGGATGGATGGATGGATGGATGGATGTGATCCCGTCCTCCTGCAGCGAGGAGGGGCTGCACAGCCTGCTGCAGCCCTCTAGCCCTTCCCCTGCGGGTGTGGTGCTTACCTGGAAGAGCCGCATGGCATGATCCTCGTTCATGTCCACGTTCATCATCTTCAGGAGGCGCTGCACCTCCTTGAAGTTCATGCGCCCATCCTTATTCTTGTCGGCCTTCTGGAACCAGTCACGAATCCATGTGAGAAGCCCCAGGACTGATGCTAAGGAAAAGGACCTTGGCGTGCTGAGACAGAAGGGGCTGGGGAATGTCAAAGAGCTTCTTTTCCTTGTGCTGTGGCTCTCCGGTGCACAGGCTGAGGTGCAAAGAAGCCACACACACGCTGGAGGTGCAGGGTGCAGGGGATGGCAGGAGACGGGGCAGGACCAGGTGGGAAGGAGTTGGTGGGAGCAGCCAGGGGTGCCTGCAGGAAGGATATTGGTCTATCTTCTCCCTCTGGTCCATGCTGGTGGCCACCTCAATGAGCTGGCGCAGGCCCTGGATCCAGCACTGCGCCTCCTCCGCCGAGCCAGCGATGAGGTCCAGGTTGCCCCGGCGGCCAAAGAAGACGATGGTGAAGCAGCGCTCAGGGGGGAACTCCTCAGCCAGGCTCTGCAGCACCTCGGACTGGTGCCCTTCCCGCACCGTCTCCACGTCGCTGATGGAGACTGAGGGAGGGCAGGTCTGTCTAGTGGGGACAAGGTCTGCAGGGCAGGGGGCACTGCCCCCAGACTGCTGTCCTTCCCCCCACCCCCCTTTCCTTCCATCCATCCATCCATCCATCCATCCATCCATCCATCCATCCACCCACCCATCCATGCCTCTGTCCATGTGCCCATTCCTCTTTGTGTCCAGTAGCAATTTCTTTTCAGTCTTTAACGCTTGGGTGCTACTGGAAGGCAGGGTGCTGCAGGGAGACGTGTGGGCAAGGACAGTCTACCCACACATGCAGCGCCTCTTGAGTGCCCCAGCACCCCTCACAAACAAGAATCTGCCCCCTTGTTCACTCTGAACCATAATGATCACCTCATGGGCAGCACACAGCAGTCAGTACTCACAGGCAGATTCAGTTTTGCCTGTCCTCTTGGACTGGTACCAGATGGTCATGCAGTCCTCCTGCAGCTTGAAGCAGCGCTGCTTCTTCCAGCTCTTGGACTTGACTTTGCGCATCACTGTCCCTTGCTGCATCTGCTCCAGCTGCTCCGTAAGCTGGATACCTGGGGACACAGAGGGCTGCATCACTGGGACACTATGCTCTATTCCCTGGCTCCCTCCAGCTCCGGGGACCCTGAGTTTGGGGTGAAGAAGGAGCAGCCTCCAAGACGCAGGAGAGGCGGAGGGTGATTCCCCTCCAGCCCTTCAGAGCCCACCCGCACGTCCACCCTTGGCGCTGGCGATCCCCCTCCCAACGGCACAGTGAGGTAGGGGAGCTCCCCGGGCACAGGGAGGGGCCTCCAACCCCGCCGAGGGGGCCGAGGGCCAGATTTGCTCCCGCTGTGAACGCGGACGGCGCTCCCCTCCCTGGGCACACACTCACGGGCGTTGCAGGGCAGCGAGGCCATGGCTCTGCCTCCTCCGCGCCGCCGCGGCGCCTGCGGGGAACAGGGGCACGGCTGGGGGCCGCCGGCACCGCTGCGCGCGCCGCCCGCGGGGTCACCGTGTTCGTGAAGCGCCGAGTTCGGCTTAGCGCCGGGCTAATGAAATATTCAGTGTGTGCTCGGGAAACCAGAGCTTCTTGAGAGGTGTGGGAGAAAAGCAGGGGCTGGGAAGAGGGGCCCCCAAAGAAGAGCCCAGGAGGGAGCTAGACCCCGGTGCCTTGCAGGACTTGCTGGTGGCCGCTCACTGCTCTCTAGGCAAAGGCAGCCTTGGCAGATGGGTAAAACTGCACCTGAGAGAGCAAAGAAGCAGCCTGTCCTGTATGGGAAGCATCGCCCAGACGGAAAACTTGGAGGTAACGGGGAGCCGAGGTGGTGAGAGCAGGAAGAGCTGTGCAAGGGTGACCTACTGAGAGTGCCACAGGGGCCAGGAGGAGGAAACCCACAGCGCTGCCCTGCCCGGGGTGCTGAGGGCTCACAGCATCTCCCTTCTCCTGGGGGAGAGGCACCCCCGCGTGCCCAGAGACCACACAAGGGCGACTCATGCACAACAGCATTAACAGCGGCATTGCGGGAATGCACTGTGGGAAGTCAGTAAATAGGACTCTATGCCACTGTCATCAGAACTGGACTAATAAGTCTTTCATTAGGCTGGAAGGACTTTTAATTAAGCTGACAATAAATCGCTGGATTTGCCTCTCACCCGGGCTGTTGTCACCAACACCCAGTCCTTGAGGACATCATGCCACAGCTGGTGGGGCTGTGATTTGGGTGCAAGGCCAGGGAGGATCCCCACAGCAGCCCGGCCATCGAGGCAGAGGGCCCTGCCGGGTCC